AGAGAGAGAGAGAGAGAGAGAGAGAGAGAGAGAGAGAGAGAGTATGAGTATGGGGATGGGGTTGAGTCTGGAAAAGGCTAGGTCTAGTAGTAGTTAAGGGAAGAGGTTGCTTAGCCATTGTTATGTTTCACAGAACTGTTGAACCAGAAGTCTGAGGAGTACAGTTTCCAGATTGAGACAGACAGTGAGAGTTCTGAAACAATTCCACGTTTCAAAAGATATTCTGGCCCACTTCCTCATCTCAATGTTCTTTACGATTCAATTCAACAAACCCCATCCACTGCCTCTCCATCAATCTTTATCCCATTCGCATTGCTGATATCAATTCAATACCAATCTAAAAGTGTTAGAAGTCCTGACTCCATCGAGTTAATGTCTAAAACAAGCATGTACTGTTTATTTTCATTGCTGAATTGAAACCTTACATTAAACAATTACAATAACTTACGACTAGCAAGAACTTTTAAGCTTTAGAGAAGAAAACACAACCCAAATGCAGACGGCCATAAATAATTCGTTCTTTCGATTCTTCCCGTTTGAATTGTTTAAGAACATATAAATCCAACCTGATATTTCTCTTCTAAAATTATCCCAAGAGCTATGGAAAAGCACTGTACTGATTCATGTGGTTCCAGGCTTGAATCCCATTCCAGTTGTTAACGTTTCCGTTTTGATCATTTTCTGGGTTCATTGCGGAGGTCGGATTCTGCAGGTTCACCGGTGCATAATTGTTGTCAAAGAACAACTCAGTCGTCAAACCACCAACATCGCCGTTGCCAGTGCTGCTACCATCTTTTCTTGATTCACCGTCTATGGAAGTTGGAGTTGATTTTGGAATTTCAAGATTATGGAACAAGATGGGTTGTAAGCCAGTTTCTTTTGGCTGCTGTCGCTGATGCTCATTTTCTCCTCCTACTGTTCCTCCTCCACCACCACCGACCAGCATAGCCAATCGCTGTTGCTGCAACCTCCAATGCAAATCTTGGTTTAAAGAACTCAAGGACTCTATAGAAGAAGTAAGGCTGGCACTGTGATGAAGATTTGTGTACGTAAAACCCATTTCTTGAAAATTTGCTAATCCTCCTCCACTTTGATTGTGATGATCTCCTTGTTTTGTTGCATGAGTGGACAAAGGGAAATTAAACCCTAAAGGGTCAAGATTCATAAAGGGAAGATTACTACTTGATGCCTCTCCATATGAGGAAGTGAACTGATTAAGCCTAGGAGGGAAGTTTATCCCACCAAGCTGAAAATCCATGATGGGCGGCGAAAGACCGTCCAACAGTTTCAGCCCTCCATTATCCAATGATGAATCTCCGATGACAAACTTTGAAGTAGAAGACTTTGCCTTCTTGCTCTTCCTGCAACCTCCCCCTACTGGGATGTTGCGTAAGGCTCCACCTTTGGTCCAGTACCTTCTGCAGGTCTTACAAAAGTGCCTGGGCTGGGTGAGGTTATAGTTGTTGTAGTAGCAGAACTTGGTGTTGTTAGAATCGCATCTTGGGCAGTTGAGTGTTTGCTCCGGGGGCCTCAGGGAAGACGTTTTCCGGCCACCACCCGAACCCTGGCTTTCATCTTTTCTGCCTTGTTTTAATGCTATGTTGTTAGACATCACAAGCTGAAAGCTAGAAAGAGACTATGACACAGGAAACCCTAATAGAAATTTATGTAAGAGAGAGAAACAAGAGAGAGAGAGAGAGAGAGAGAGAGAGAGTTGGGATGTGGGTGATTTGGGTTGCCTTTAGCAGAGGCAAAGGAACACCCAATTCATGGTTTCATGCATGACCTTGAAAGATGGAAGAGGGATGTTGATGGGTTCTTGTGAACTCCATCAAAGAAAGCCAAGACTCTGATCTACTTAAATTCCACTATTTTACAAGACTTGTAGGCTGCATTTGAAGGGGAAAATCTCATAGAACACATATATAAAAATAGATGCACAACACATAAGAAACAGCATGAGGAAGAATAACAAGACTCAAGTACATATATATATATATCCACGCAAAAGGAAGGGGGTAGGGGCTTGGGGTTGGATGTAGGGGATGGGAGGGAATAAGAGACAAAAAGTGGGGGTGAAATGATAGCGATCTAACATGCACAAATCGAGACTTCCACATGTAACACCCCACCCTACCAAACAACACCGCAAAATAGAAATTGTGGTAAACTAAAAAGGTGGAAGGAAGAAAAACAAGGAATGCAAGCATAACAACAAAAGGAGAAAGGTTTAGAAACTGGCAAGAATGTTGTGATTGAGATGCAATGTGATCTTTATGATGATGTATGGATCATGTTCTCAAAGAATTAAATATTATAATATTTAAGAAAAATTGTATTTAATTTCAACAGTTGTTTATTTTTGAAATAGTAAATTGCAAATTTCGTTTGTGGTTATAAGAGAATTATGGATCAAGTACTCCACTACATATACCATTACTATGGTTATAGAATTGTTACGGATTGGGTCCTTACCTCTAATTTTATTAATCTATTTCCAATTATGTTAAGGACAATTTTGTCTTTTAAACAATTAATTTCAATTCATTTAAAAAATATAAATTATATAATACTATTTACTATTTATAATAATATAATGTATAATATATATATATATATATATGTATATATATTTATTATAATATAACATATCATATAGAGTAAACTCCAATTTTGGTCAGGTTTAGTGAAAAGACTGAAAGCGGACCTGATCAATCTTGATACTTCTAGCTAGAAATCATCCTTACGGTTTGTATCTTATTTTGAAAATAGTCTTTGATCACTAGCTCCGTTAAAAAGTGTTCGATAAGTAAAAGGCATTTTTGTATTTTTATTGTTTTTGTCTTCTTCACTTTTTTCGTAACAACTATCAACCGATAATTTATTTATCTTATATATATATATATATATATATATATATATAGGAGCGATCAAATGAAAACCGCCTCCATTTGTGTAAACCATGTAAACCAATCTCATCCATCCATTTTCTTGATCAATGGTCAAGATTAGTTTAGTTTATTTTAAGAAATTAAAAAAAAATATATATATATATATATATATATAAAATTATTCTATAATAGTGAGAAGGACAAGATGGTAAACCCAACAATTAAAAAGATATATATATATATATATATATATATATATATATATTAAAAAATTTATTCTATAATAATGAGAAGGGCAAGATGGTAAACCCAACCACATCGTCATCATGCAACATATTCATCATCTTATTTATCATGCACCATATTATGGTAAATTTCTCATCCTATTCATCATGCACCCATTTCATAATCGTTTTCACTGACTCCATGCACCAATTTCACCATGTATGAAATCGGTTTCATCATGCATCCATTTCATAAACTTTTTTCACTTACTCCATGCACCAATTTCACCAT